TCTAGTAAATATGATGGCTTTTTATATAAGTATAGATGTGAATAAGGAAACAAAGTAACACTTTTTATTAAAAAGATATGGAATGATTTTGCCTCACCGGATTTCATAAAAATCCTCACAAGTGATTTTTGCGGAAGATTTAAAAGGTTTCTATTATAAGTAAGTCAAATGAGTTGACTGAGATTTTTTATGAAGTTTCCACAATTGATTTTTTTACCTCTCTCTTTCAATATATATAGATGTGGATATTTGATCAGAAAAATATATGTAATCTTAATTTAGATTCACAAATTACAAGATCAACAAAGCCATCCTCCATTCAAGCTCAAAAACACATTTCCTTACAATGTAGAGAGAAACTATGAACAAAATGAACATAGCCAAAAAAAAAAAAAATGAAGAAAAAACAAGGGGCAGTCTAGTTTAATCGAGCCGCTCGTAACCGAAACAAGGCACACCCGTATTTCACCTCACGAGCTCCTTCTTACCCACTCGATGCTTTTCTTGTTCTTCGCCCAGCGGAATTTCTTGATGCTCTTTTCTTGTTCGCAAAATATTTTCACTACCCGCAAGTGTACGGTGTAGCTACAATAAGCGGCGAGCAAGTAACCCAAGGAACAGTTTCTTGCCAATCAACGATTTCTTGAGAGCTCAAGACACGGTTTCTTGGAAATCAAGACACTGTTTCTTGAACAACCACCTGTGTCTTGAAGAAAAAACTGTTTCTTAAAAAAAAAAAATCCATTTTTTCGCCCCCGTTTTTTTGAAGAATAAAAAACTATTTTCTTGGCATTCGAAAAAAATATATGAGTTCAACAAAATAAATGGTTCTACAAAAATCAATAATTTTGGGAACTCATAAATGGCTTTTAAAAATTAAATATTTTAAAAAAATGATTTATTTAACATATTAAAAAAAAAATAGATGTGTGTACCTTTCTTTCCAAAGGTATTAACTTGGAGGTGATGGAGATGACTATTTGAAGATGAGATAATTTTTTTTTTCTTTTACGGTGGAGATGAGGCCCAATTTGGTGAGTGATTTTTTTTTCTCAATTTTTTTTTTGGGACGGAACGATCTGTTCTGTGTTAGACTTTTTTTTCCGATTTTTTCTTTTCTTTTCTTTTTTTTTT